GAAGGAAGGAAGGAAGGAAGGAAGGAAGGAAGGAAGGAAGGAAGGAAGGGAGGAAGGAAGGGAGGGAGGGAGGGAAGCATCCATGTGAGAGAGACACATCGATTGGTTGTCAGGGACCTAACTTGCAACCCAATCCAGGTACGTGCCCTTGACTGGGAATTGACCCCATAACCCTTCAGTCCCAGGACTGATGCTCTAACCACTGATGAGGGCTGTAGAATATTTTTTCATTTTAATTAAAATGTTGTAGAGGATGATTGAAATGGAGATGATACTGGTGATACTTTTGAAGACTGTATTAGGGAGGTACTTTAAAAAATGTTTTCTTTCCACCTGGTACTTCATTTTGCCCAGTCAACCTTGTTCTATAAAGCTTACACAGGCCCAATGTTTGAAGTAGCTCCTTACACCCTTCTAAGTTACTCTATTGTTTCTCCCTGGGGAGAGTGTCCAGAAAATTTGAGCATTTGGGTAATCATCAGGAGAGCCCCAAGAAGTTTGTCACCAGCTGAAGGAGAAATGTGGCAACTAGGGAGCCTCCCTGGAGGCTGGCAGGCAGCATCTTTCAGCCACCCTGCGCCCACCACTCCCCTGTGGCCAGGACCTCATTGTCTCTGGCTTCAAGGCTATAGCTCCCAGTTAGTGGAAAAACATGTTACCATTTAAAAGCCGATGGTAATAACAGATACATGTTATTATACATTTGTCCATACTCATAGAATTTATAACACCGAGAGTAAATCTTAATGTAAACTGTGGACTTTGGGTGATAATGGTGTCAATGTAGGTTCATCAGTTGTAATAAATGTACCACAGTGGTAGGGGATGTTGATGATTGGGCAGACTTTGTATGTATAGGGAAGGGGATATAATGGAAATCTCTTTAGAATATCTTATATAAAAATATTTATCTTCCCCTCAATTTTACTATGACCTTAAAACTACTATTAGAAATAGTTTTTTAAAAAACTATGTCATGCACAGAGGAAAGGACCATAATAAACATGTACAGCACTGTAGTATTTACAAGAAGAGGAACAGATCACATCTCAATCAATTATTTTATACTTAATTATTAGTAACTGTCACCAACCCATTCCTTGTAAATTTGTGGATATACTCTTGTGGACCTAATTAGCTTTGATTCACTTTTCTAAAAATAATTTTTTATTTTTCAATTACAGTTGGCATATAATATTATATTCGTTTCAGGTGTATAGCCCAGTGATTAGACATTTATGTAACTTATGAAGTGGTCACCCTGATAAGTCTAGTACCCATCTCACAGCACACAATAGTTATTACACTATTACTGACTATATTTCCTATGCTGTACTCCACATGCCCATGAGTAGCAATTTTATAGATAAAGATTCAGCCTGGGGGCCAGCCTTGGAGGAGACTAGCAATTTTATAACTAGCAATTTTTACTTAATCCCTTCCCCTTTTTACCCATCCCTCAAAACCCCTCCCATCTGGCCACCATTAAAATGTTCTCTGTAAAATAAAAGCAGATGGGAATTCAGCTCAGGAGGAAATAATAAGTCTTTTTTGGATATAAGTATTGTTTTCTTTGATTTTTTTAAGTTATTTGTAGCAGATTCCATTTTTTTCATTTGTCTTTTATCAAATTATTCTAATTACTTTAGAAAAACTTTTATCTTACCACCAACAGGAAACCAACAATCACAAATAAATGGACATGAACATAGCTGGGTTCATCACCTGCATACCCTGGGACAGGGTGACGAGTAAGAGACATTATTTCCTCTCTGCGTAGGATTTGCTGGCATGGACGGAAAGCTAATGTCTATATAACTGGAGTTGAATGTTTGTGTTTGAATACTGTCCTCCTTTTAGTGCTTATCTCATTCAGTGAAACTGAGAATATATCTAAGAGCCAGGTATCAACTATCCTCCTATATAATAAAAGAGAAAAATGGTAATTAGCGTACGACCGATACCCTTTTCATTGGCTAATCAGCGAGATATGCAAATTAACTGCCAACTCAGATGGCAGTTAACCGCAA